AAAATTATTTTACAGCACCCCTTCCATATCAATCACGCTGAGCATTCAAACTCGGGAAATTCATTAGCCTCGGAAATTTAGCAAAACATTTTAAATGTTCGAACAAACAATAAGTGTCTTGTAGAGACCAGGAGTGAGCGCACTATTTTATGGGGAGTACTAATTCAAGGGGAGTACTATTTTCAACCCTACTCCAAAGGGGAGTATTATTTACGGGGGGGTGCTAATTCAGTGGGGTACTATTTCAGGAAATACGATAGGTAGTTTGTTATCGTTAATAAAAGCTCATAAATACAAATCTTGACTAAAATTCCCTTAACTGCAAAATTATTATGGGATGTGAAAGTGAAATAAAAGTGTATGAGTAAGATTTAATGAGAGTAAACGAAATACTTTCACGTAATTACATCTTTAGAACCGCTATAAAGAACGCCAAACCATCTCTAAAAAATGTGAACTTGATATTCTTTTTCTTATTTAAAAAAACGACCAATAAGTAAATACTTAACTCGCGCAATATTTTTTGCTCGTCCAATTGAAGTTTTTTAAAGTTGATTTCATCTTTAAATTTATTTTTTAATTCTCTTTCATTCCATTTTTCATAATAACCAATAATAAAATCTGGATCAATTAATGCCCTAAAATCTGTATATTCACTAAATTCATAAATTGTTTTGATTATATTTGATGCTTCGTCCAATGTTAAAACTTAATATATTATAAAAAATGATTAAAAATTTTTATCCTTAGTGCTCAATCTTAATCCTTAGTGCTCAACAAACCCAATAAATAATAAATATTAGTTTATTATTTGCCTGGTAAATTATCATAAGCTATATTTGCGATGCTACTTTGAGTTTTATCGGATAGTGCAGGCGAAAATTGTTTTTCTTTTGCCAAATTGTATTCTGCTTAATTAAAGAAACATCCTTAATTTCATAAGGTTGAAAATGTTGTTTTTGTTGATCATTTACATCAATATCCCCAAATTGAATATCAAATAAACCAATAAATTCAGCGCCCAAAAGCTCAGATTTTTGTTTAGCAGTTTCTGCTGAAAACAATCCTTTGCCTAAATACTTTTCTTTCATTTTTCTATTTTTAAGCATTGCGACTTCATTATTTGGACCCAAATTTTCCAAAATATTAATAGAAGCTTCTTGTAACCATACTCCTCGAGCTTTTTCTATAAAATCGTTGAGGATAGATTTTCTATCAGAATGCCCTTCATGATGACCTTTTACTTTAGATATAGCCTTTAAAATTATTAAATTTATATTGATTTTAAAATCAAAAAAATTTTCCAAAGTATCATAACTCATTTCATTTTCATATATGTTTTGAATTTTAGAGACCACTTAGATAAATATAACTAAGTTTACCTTTATCTTATATTCATATAATTTCTCTTCCAACGTTGTTGCAAAAATAAAAAGACGAGATAAAATACACAAAGCATGTTCTCCTTCACCCAAGGACCAGTTTAAATTGAATTTTCTTGCTATTTCCAAATTGCATTATTCATCAATATATTCCGGCAAATTTGAAAATAATATCTTCTGTTTCTACGTTTTTAAAATAAAAATTAATAAATTATTCGTATAAATCGTGGCTCAATTAAATCTTTTAAACTGACCAAATTCTCATTTACATTTCCACCGAATATCGATATAAACAATTCTCTCATAAATCCTTCAATTTTGAAAATGCTTTTATCAAAATCTTTATTGTTCCAATCCATTTTTCCTTTGTTCAAAATAGATGAATGAATGAACATACCTTTTGATTGCAAAAATGAGAAGTTATTGAAAGTTTTATTTGTACGGGTCTAAAATTATCCATTTTCGAGATAAACTGCATATTAAAAATTATATGTAATATTATATGTAATATAACCGTAATAAATATAGCTAATAAATTATAAGTAATAATGAATTTATTTGTCTCAGTGTCCGAAAAGTCCTTCCGACCGAAAACGAATCAGATATAAGGATAATTATCAGGATTCGCCAACCATAATTAATATTGGTACAAAAAATAGGGCAATGATCCATCTGATTAATAATTCTCTGAGCACATTCATATTCAGATTTCATGTGATTTCAATTGGAAATCGTATTGAAACAAAATCTAAGTTTTTTCAGATACCTCTACTAAAGTATTACACACATTTACAATTTTATTTTAGTAATAATTAAATAAATACTTAACTCGCGCAATATATTTTGTTCATTCGGATTGAGTGTTTTAAAATTTATTCCTTCAAATTTATTTTTTAATTCTCTTTCATGCCATTTTTCATAATAACCAACAATAAAATCCGACATAATTAATGCTTCGAAATTTGTGTAGTTATTTAATTCATAAATTGTTTTGATTATATCTGATGCTTCATCCAATGTTAGAACTTAAATATTTAAATATTTCCACCGATACCTCAAATCCCTGTTTTTTTGTTATCTATTACGCAAACCTGTAACATTACCTAAGCATTTATGCGAAACATTTTTAAGATTCTCGAAGGATTTATATTAGTCAAAGTTAGCCAACCTATATTATTTAAAGTTAATACTAGAGTTGTACCCCGACCCGATATCCCATGAAACCAAAGTTTATCCCTCCAAATCCTCTTAATACACCTTAATCCATTTAAATCCTAATTAATCCCTAAAACCCCCTTATATCATCTCTAATTCCTCGATCTCCCCCTTAATTTTTGAATAAAATACCTGGTTTTTTATTGTCAGATATATCGGTTATTTTATGTCGTTTCGGAGATGGCTCAATGTAATTATGATCTCCTTGCATGCCTTCAACATTATCATATAAATATAAAAATATCAATTTTAATATAACAAAATACATTTTTAATATATTTTACTGTTTATATCTTCATTTTATTTGTTTACTATTTTAATATTAATTAATTAGAAAATAAAAGTTGGAAATGTTAAAACAAATTCCGCCATAAATTTGTGTTTTTAAAAATGTTTATATTTTTTAAATAAGGGATTGTGGCTTATTGGATTTGCAAATTTCTAAAAATTTGCGGAGCAAATAACTGGCTCCTTTAACATTATAAATTCTCAAAATTTTAGAAAAAAGAAGTTAAGAAATAATGTGAAATGAGAATTAGAGATCGGATAAACGGCAAAATCAAATCAAATAATTTGAAAATATTTGATATTTTAAAAAATTTGATAGAAAAAGTCAAATATTTGATCAACTAAAATCACATAAAATTTGAACAAATATTTGATTTTATTTGACCAAATATTTGTCTGGTCCGATTTCTAGTAAGAAGCGTCACTGAGAAACTGGCACGACATGAATTTAATAATCTGATTTATTTTGAAATTAATATAAAAAATATTTTAAAGTAAAAAAACAGACAATTCACATATATTTTTATTTATTTTTAAAATTAAGAGGCTGATAAATGTAAAAAAATGATAAAGTGCATGCCTTTGAATGGAGAATAACGCTCTTTATTAATTATAAAATAAACAAACTAAAAATATTAGATTTCTTAATTATTAAGAAAAAGAATCGACTAGGTGATTTCAAAATGATTTTCAAAATATTTACAAAGACATTTGTTTATGACTAAAAAATATGAAATTATTGTCTTATGCAATGAGCGGCAAGTTCGGCGTCAATTTTGTTTTAATGCTAGCCTGCCTCAGCATCAACGAAAATTTGGAACATTAAACAATTTTATGACACCAAGTAATAGCAATACCGTGTTTTTCTATTGAGACCCCGTATCTATTGGAACGGCCGTATAGAAAAAAGCTTCCCTATGAGAGGGAATCGGAAAAGCATCGCGCTGAAGTTAAACTGTCGTTTCTATTAGAGCAGCCAAATCTAATAATTTACTTTAAATATATCAAGTCTGTTGTATAATAATTAGATTATAATAATTAGATTTTTGTTTACTTAATTAATGTTAGGGATTCTGGGAACTCTTCTGATATCAAATCCAATATCTGGACAACGGCGATAAGTCGAAGATTTAATCGGTCCTTTTTATTAAAAACTCATTTAATCTCCTTTATGTTTTTATAAATTTCATAATGTTTAAATTTTCAAAAACTTTTAAAAAGGTTATGCATAAACAAATTGTGAAACTAAATAATCTGCCTTCCACGGATATAAAGCTGAATTACATAAAATAAAGCTTTAAAAGTGAATTTCTATATATTTATTTAAATTAAATTTAAAATAAGTAATTTTATTAACGTTAATTAGACTCGTCGACAAAGCTAATTTAAAATCAATTAACAGGCAATAAATAAATTAAAATGCGTGGACAACTCGTGAGAAAAATTGACTGAAAAAATTTATTCAATAATTCATTTAAATTTTTAAATTAAAATAGAAGTAAAAGTTTTGCATTAGAAATTATTAAGACATGTGCGGGACACTCGGTTCTTACTGTCATGGTTAAACACTTAATTATTTAAATTATTATTTAATCAAAAGTAAATTTAATTAAAACCTTTTTTGTTAATGGATCATTTGTGAGAAGCAAACAGTCCATAAATGGCAGTTTCTTGCTTTTTGATGAAGTTTTCGCAATATTTTTTTTGAAATATAAATTTGAAAACAAAATTTGACTAACATTCGACAGAAATCTAAAAGTTACAGACATTTAATCCGATATATTTAAAATATTCATGCTTTAATTTTCCATTAATTTATTGAAATCTAGAAATAGAAATATTTAAGTTATTTTATTTTAAGGTTTATTTGTTTTTAAGCTTATTTTATTTATAAGTTTTAGGTAAGTCGGACAATTTTTATTCATTTATTAAGCAAGAACGAGGAAATGGAACCGGAAATTAACATTTAATTATTCAATAAAAATCTGAACTAATTAATTTAATAATTTATAAATTTATAGAGTGATTCACACTTTAATATAACTAGTAAATATTTGAGCGTCTAGTTCCAATTATAGTATTAAGTAATATTTAAAAATTATTTATACAAATAAAATGAATTTTTATTCGTTGATATTAATTCAATTAACAATCATTTACTTATTAAATTGTTTAACAGAGATTGAAGGAAAGACAAGCGTCTTGCCAACTAAAAATACAACAACAAAAATAAATGTCACCAAAAGTAAAAAAAAGTTTAGACCTCAAAAACGTACAAAAATTCTTTTATTTAATACAACAAAAAAGCCAAAAGAAAGTTTCGAAACTTCAAATAAAACCTTTATTAACAAACAAAAGCTTAATACTATAACAAAAAATACAATTCAACCTCGAATAAATAATAAAACAATTATTGCTAATAATAAAATTAGTAATGGAACCAAAAATATGAATTTAAATAAAAATTTAAAGAAAACACATCAATCTGATAGAATGGTGAATATAACTGTTAGAATGAGTTCAAATGTAGGTAAACTAAGTATAGAGTTAAAACTTTGATTTTGCTAAGAGAATTTAATTTAAAAATCGGTTTACTATCGAAACAAGAAGGCGAGGAAAGCCGTGCATAAATTCATTATTAACCATAGTTTGTCTTTACTCAACCAAGACTAATTCGACTCCATAAGGTCTAATTCGTCTCTCTAATTCGATTCCATAAGGTCAAAAGGTCTAATTCGACTCCATATTTTAATAAATTTGAAAAGTGAGGGGAAGTGATTAACGGGGTAAAACAAAATAAATTAGTAATCTGATTTTGTCTATTATAATTCCCAATATTAAAAAAAATATTTTGAAAAAAATTTAAATAACTTTGAATATTTACGAACTTTATTAAGGCTTCAATTACTACAACTAAAAAGCCAGCAACAAAATTGCGTGTAAACAGAACTCAAACTAAAATTAACAAAACTAGAGAGGTATTTTTGGAATGGGTAGGAAATAACTCATGAATACTTTTATTTTTTAAAGGAAAAAGTAAACGTTACAGGAAGCTTTGAAAAAATTGCTAGCAAAAATATAAATGAAAGTCAAAATTTATATACTGATATAGACGATGAAAACGGGACAATGATTGTTGATTATTATGATTATTATAATGAGACAGATGAAATAGATAGTCAAACTATTTTTGAAGTAAAAAATTTTACAAAGAGAATTGAGGAAATTGTTTACAAGTAAGGATTTTCAATTTTTTTTAATTTTGGGAAAATTTAGAAAAATTTTTTAAATAACGGAGAAAATTTAAAGCGATTTATGAATAAAATAAATTGTATTATATTTAATTTTTGTTAACGGATATATTTTACGGCAGGGTTACGATTCGTACTTTATTTGAAAGTACAGTACTTTAAAATCGACCTCCGTACTTACGAAATTGAATTTGTACTTTATTGAAAGTATGTACTTTAAAATCAACATTTTGAAAAAAATGGAAGAAATCTGGCTTAAGGACCCCCAAATTTCTCAAAATTTTCGCCTGCGGCGCAAAAAATGGAAGAAATCTGGCTTAAGGACCCCAAAATTTCTCAAAATTTTCGCCTGCGGCGCAAAAAATGGAAGAAATCTGGCTTAAGGACCCCAAAATTTCTCAAAATTTTCGCCTGCGGCGCAAAAAATGGAAGAAATCTGGCTTAAGGACCTCCAAAATTCTCAAAATTTTCGCCTGCGGCGCTGATAATGGATTTTCTGGCGCCTTCGGCGCCACAAAAAGTGCATTGAAATGCACAAAATGCTTGATGGAAACAAAAAATTATTAAAAAAGATTCATTTAGGAGAGAAATATGAAAGATTTGAGCATGAATAAATATTTTCTAATTTAATTTTGAGTGTACTTTAAATTTGGAAATTTAGCCCCTATGTACTTTTAAATCAAGATTTTTGTACTTTTGATGGGCATTTTGTCGATCGTAACCCTGTTTTACGGGCTTTTAGTATGATAGAATAAAAGAATTCGACTTTATATCTAATTTGTAAAAAATAATTTAATCAGTCAAGAGATCAATGAATCAAATATGGAGATTTACGAGGAAGAATTGCAGGCAGAGGGAAATGATGAAAACCTGGAGGAAGTTAATTTGGTTAAAGGTAGTTGAATCAAATTTTTTAATAATTGACTTTAATTTCGAGAGGATTTACATCTTAAAGTTACTCGACTGTTCATATTTACTTAGAACCTAAATATAGCTTTTCTTAGCCCTTACTTCGTTAACTATATCAACTTCTTTAATAAAATTTTTGAGTTCTGTAAAACTCCGGGATGTAAAAATTCAACAGGTTTAGACTAATATTGGACACTAATACTGAGAGACTAATATTCCTTTAAAGAGAAGAATTCCTTAATTTAGTACGTCATATGGACGAGGTTTTTACAATATCAAAAGAAGAACTAAATAAATTATGTGAAATCGAAAAAATAGAACCGCAAATCAAAAATGAAGACATGGAAGAAATTGAACTTGAAGATGCAATAGAAGAAGCTAAATATCAAATAAATAAATGTTTAAAAATAAATGATGACTGTATTGTTAAAAAATTTAAAAACACGAAAGAAAATTTAGAGATGAACGGATTAGAATTAGGTCTATATGAAGTGGATCGAAATAAAAATAATGTAGCATCTGTAAGTTAAAATTATTAAAGGACTCTAAGGTTGATTTATAGATAATATGAAAATCTGTGACCTAAAATTGGATTCTTTTTCGGTCCGATCTTTAATTATAAATTTAAAATAATTAAATAAAAAATATTTCATTAAACTTTGATAAGTTATTTGTCTTTGACTATATTGGTTCTTGGCTACATATATTAGTTTCAGTTTATAAAGGTTTAATAAGCTCTCTGGAAGGTTTTAATCGCAGCATTTAACTAACATCCTAGGAATTCCTCTTCAATGAAGACCTTATTATGGAAGGCAACAGTGAATTATATAATCAACTTTTGGAAGCTACTAAAAATGGAGCAGTATTTCGCAAATTATTTCAAAGAAATAAAAATCACTTCACAAAAACAAGTGGATTTATTTCCCGCGAAGTGAGATATGCTAGGGCAATTTATTGTATTAAGGTATGGCTATACATATGTATTAACAATGTATTATTTATGTCCATTATTTTTTAAACAGAAGCTCACTCTTAATATGCTTAAAATATACCAAAGTGAACCTAAAACGAGAGAAGCTTCTATAAATTATACAATTGCTGGGATTTGGATTCGAAATGAAGTAAACATCAGTAAAATAAATCGTATAAAAAATTATAATTTTAGCCCAAAATTAAAGAAAGCATGAAAAACGTGACACACTCTAAGAATATGCTTATTAAAGATAAATCATTAAATAGTACTTTCAGAGAGGATATTTTTAATGGAATATTAAATGTCGCAAAGTTGGAAAGCATGAATGGAGGTATTTATTCAACTAGTAAAGAGGCTAGAGATCCTTAGCTAGAGATACTCCCCATCAGGAGGTGTGTCGGAACAGTCAGAGGTGTCGGAAATTGGGAGAGCCGGAAATTGGAACTGGCTCAAAAGTCGGAACTCGGAAATCAAAATTTTAGTTCGGAAATCGGAAGGAAAATAGCCGGAAATAGGAATTCCGATCCACTTCTACTCCCCATCCACAAAAATGAGAGGAAGATACAAGTGTAAAAAAATTTATTTATAAAGGGAAAGAAAGTTCTTCAATGGCAATTTTTGGCTACATTGTGTTCGATAAATTTAAAAATCAAAAAGATTTAACAGATGTAGTGGAGATAATAAATGTATTATTTATTTTTATATTAAAGGAATAAATTAATTAATATTGTTAAATGTAATAAATATCTAAACCTGACCAAATTTTTGAATGTTTTATATGACAATTGATAGTGCCGGCATAAAAAATATGTTCCCGACTGAACTTTGAAATTACTGGTTTTCGGAAAACAGCTGAAACTCTAATTCACCTCCAATTATATCTAATTTTATAACTGTTGAAGTAAAAGTAATAATATTTTATTAAAAATTTTTTTAATTATACATTCATTAATATAAATTAATTTTCTTTTAATTTTTCTTGATCAAGATCATCGTCTAATATTCCAAATCTGAATATAAATTCATTATTAATATACTATTCTAAATTAAAAGATCCCAATCATAAAGTTTAATTATATTTAATCTTTGCTTTATTAAAAATATTTAATTTGGAAAAATTAGTCTTATTAGCGATTAGAAATTTTTCCCCGGTTTATTAATTTTCCTTTTTTCAATAAAATTTCTAAAAAATAATATATATAAAAATTTAGCAATTGTGTTATGAGATTTAAATTTATTTAATAAAATTTAAATTCATCCAAAAATTAAAATATAAATCAACCAAATTAAATAATTAACAATTTCTTAGGATTACTTTCTACATATTGCTTTTTAAGAATATACCTAGTATCATTATGCGCACTGATATGAAAGAAAGCGATACATTGTTCGCCTGATTTTTATTCAAAGCAAAATATCCAACCAATGCCATTGATGAGCCTAACAAAAATTCAAAATATTTTTAGTAACTTTTTGTCAGTTTGTATTTTATCAAATAGTTTTAAAGCAGAATTAAAGAATTGATGGATGGGTTAAATTACCCCTTCCATATTTAATATTTTCAACATTTTCCAATGTCGCGACTTTTTCTATCCCATCTGTTATATTTTTTCTCATATCATTTAATTCTTTAATCGAGCTGTAATTTAATAGATTATTCTTTTGAGATACAACTCTTTTCATAGCATTCACAATTTCCTTTAATTAAATATTTATTTAATATGCGGGGCTAATGAAAAAGTATTTTATATTTTTATTACCTCATTACCAATCCAAACTCCTGTGATTGTATAATTAACATATGAAACTGTATCAGAACTTTGTTGTCTATATTTATCTTGGATCATTTTTGCTAATTTCTAAAAAATATCTATATGTCAACAACTCGTTTTCCACCTTAAAATATACCTGAACGCAATAATAAGCACGTAGATAACGTACACCGCTCAAAACAAATCCACTTGTGTTCCGAAATAAATATCTGGATTTCCCGACAACTAATAATTTTCGGAAATAAAAACCATTAGATGATAAATCTAAAAGTTGTCTTTGCATTTCATTAGCCCCATCGTTAATAAGCTTTTTATCTCTAAGAATAACATATAAAAGAAAGATGAAGTTAACAAACTGGAATTAAAGTTAATTTTATAATTCATGGTTTTTGGGTTAAAAAATTTAAAAATATGCAGATTGATACAAGGATTGACCAAAGTCAGAAACATCATAAACCTCTCTTTTATTAGTAGGTTAATTAGGGGAAGGGTTTAAGTTTTGTTTTGTTAATAATTTAAAATTAGATAATAAATTTATCACAGACATTTACAAACTTTTCTTTACAAATTATACAAATTATTCCCAAGTTATACTTAAAACGTTCAAGAATTTTGCTGGCACTTTTTTTTAATTTTTTATTCAAGCATGATTAGGATATTAATTAATGGTGAAATAAAAAATGGCCTAAATACGATTTTGGTATGTCATTGACACAAAATCGGTAAAAATTACCTAATTATTCTCCGAAATTAAGAATAATTAAGTTCGAATTTACTCAAGCTGCAACCTAATCATTAATAAAAAAATTTTTTAAATCAAATTCTTTACCTCAGCACTCTTAGCTTCTCCATCAACTTCATACAGACCTATTTCACTTCCATTATTATAAAGAATCTCGCCTGTATGGTTATCAGATCTTGTGAAGTTCTATCCCGATTCTTTGTACTTTGGAATTACTGGTTTTCGTAAAAGAGCTGTACTCCTAACTCACCACCAAATATACAGAATTTATTTTTTAAATTAAAACTATTCCAATTTTATAACTTTTGAAGTAAAAGTATTTATATTTTATTAAAAATTTTTAAAATTATACATTCATTAATATAAACTAATTTTCTTTTAATTTTTCTTGATCTAAATCATCGTCTAATATTTCAAATCTGAATATAAATTCATTTTTATACTATTCTAAATTCAAAGATACTAATCATAGTGTTTAACTATATTTAATCTTTGCCTTCGCAAAAATATTTAATTGGGAGAAATTAATCCTAAAAGAGATTAGAAATTTTTCCCCGTTGTTTATTTCATTTTTCTATTTTCTTTTTTTCAATAAATTTTCTGAAAAATAATATAATAATTTAGTAATTGGGTTATGTATTACCTTAAAATTTAAATTCAGCCAAAAATTATAATCTAATTCAACCAAATTAAATAATTAACAATTTTTGGTACTTTATGGATATGTCACCCCCCCTCCTATTTTGAGTCTCAGAAGTAGTTAACCACCGGTCACCGTCGCGGCTTGTAATCCCTTGTAAACATGTACCTTTACATCAGTGTCGTGGGGGTGGAGGGGTCCGACAAAACCAAAAGGAAGAGGGCAGGTCGGGAATGCGCGGCAAAAAATCAAAAGGTAGTGGACACTGTCGCGGGTCAGACAAAAAAAAAGACTGGTAAAAACCAAAAGGGTGGACAGTCGCCACTGTCGCGGGGTCAGACAAAAGAAAGAGAGTATAGTGGGAAAATCAAAAGGGAATGAGCATATCGGCACTGTTGTGGGTGCAAGAGTGGTATTACATACAAGGAAGTATGTAATTAGTGAAAAAACATGTGTAGTAATTTGTAAGTCAACAACTAGTAATTACATGTGTAATCTTGTCATGTTTTGTGTGTATCTTGTCATGTTTTGTGTCAATCATATTGTAATTTTTTTGGAATGGGTGTACGATGAAGAGTAATTTGTACTAGTCATGTAATCATGTACTTATTAATCACTAATTATGTAAGTGTTTATCGAGGCTACTACTGCAGGTGATTACCCGGACTGTACATGTGAGTTAATCAATCAAATAGTGTTTGTTAATGTAAATATTCAGTTTGTAAATCTGTTTCAACTATGTTTTTCAGTTTTTGTGGCAATTTGTATGTACATAATATTTATATTTCTAATTGATTTAATTTTACACTTTGCTTCCACAAAGGCCACTGCATCTTTGACTTGCGCCGCTCTTTTAACTCCTTTCTTTTATTTACAACCGGTCAGCTTTCTCTTTTTCCCGACAGCCGCCGCTTATTTTCTCTCTTTTCTTCTTCTCTTTCTCAGCAGCCGATAATTTTATTTGGATTTTCCGACAAAAGAAAATTTAAATTCTTTCCTAAATTCTCCTTTTATTCCCTTTTCTTTATTTTACAGCCGGTCAGTCCTTTTCTTTTTTTCTGACTGCCGCCGCACTTTTCTTCCCTCTTTATCTTTTTTCCTTTCTTTTAAGCAGTCGATACTTTTCCGACAGCTGCTATCTATTTTTTTCTTCATCTCTCTTCTTTTGGCTCTTTGCCAATCCTTTGAATGTCAATATTTGAATAAAAAAGCAAACACATAATTTGAATAGAATAAAAACGCCAACTAATCGATTTTTATCGAAGCGAAAGAGCGAGTATAAAAACGAGGAAAAAATCCATTTTTGCATCATTCTACTAAATTTTTAAAAAATTAAAAACAATTTTATTTTTAATATTTAATTTAATATTAAATAATTTTTAATAAATTATTTAATTTATATTTTTAATTTAAAAAACTCCCTTAAATTTTTCACATCAGTGAAAACTTTTTCCTTAAAATTTTAATTAATTTTTTAAATTTAATTTTTTACTTTAAAAGTTTTTTAGGCTTTTTACTTTAATTTTTTAAATTTTAATTAGGTTTTAAAATTTAAGTTTTAATTTTTTAAATTTAATTTTATTAATTTTAATTTCACTTTATTTTCACTTTATTCTTTTTGAATCAATATTTATTTATTGATTCTTACATTTTTTCATTCAAACTTTTAAATTTCCTTTAAAATTTTTAAAACTTTTAATTAAGTCTTATCTTTTACTTCGTTAGCCAATTTCCTAAGTTTCCTTTTTGAATCAATATCATCTATTGATTCTATTCTTTCATAAGTTTCATAGGCCTTTTTTAAATTTTTTTTGATTTTTTTTCTAATAAATTATGGATTATTTCCCTCCAACAAAACGCGCGAGAGCGTTCTTCATCGACAACCTCCTCTCTCTCAATCAATCAGGAGGAGAAGCTGCTCCACAGCAATATATTGAGCAGCTTGAAAACACAACAAAATTCATCAATAAATTCAAGATCACCAAAAACTACACCAAATTCTTAATTATTAATATTCCTGCCGACCCTGAGGCCTTATTATCTGGGATATTCCAGCATTGTTTCAATGAAGCTACAAACAACGCCAAAAATAATGGGCTTGAACCCGAGGAGCTGAGTTGCACTGTATCAAGTGAGTTATTAGATTCAGATATTTGGATCCCCCTCAGGCCCACCCCCCAAAACACCTTTAACACCCTGCTTAACCAATTTAATAAGGTATCCCAGAGTAAAAAGCAGGCGGGAGTGACCCTCTGGGGAAAACCCTTTACAGTCAATGTAATGGTTGTAGATAAGAAAAATTTGGGGAAGGAAAACAATATTATTGGCGGAGCTCCACGCAGAATCGCTCCTGTCCATCATCAGATCAAGGAGAAGAACCTGATCAAAATAAACAACAATGATGGATATTGCTTATTTTATTCATTATTAGCAGCACGCGTGCGCCTCATTGGAGGAATGTCACGCTCCCAATTCTACAATTATATCCACGGGAGGTATGCATCAAGACAACGATTTGTGCAGGAGACTTTGGCACTGATGGAACAAGTTGGCGCTCCTTTTGGATTGAAGGAGTACAATGCTGAAGAATGGGTCCCTCCCGTGATTGACCACTGGAATGAATTGTATTCAGGCCAGTTTTGTTTTAAAGTCTTTATTTTTGATTGCCTGGGGCATTACAAACCTTGTTTTAAATACGGCCCCGACAATTATAATTCCCCTTTGCTTCTCTACTTTGACGGGTCCCATTTTAATGGTGTTACGAATACCGGAGGTCTATTTGGGCAACCCTATTGTTTGGAGTGTGAAACAGTATATGAACGCCCCCAAAGCCATTCCGCAACATGTAGAGCGCGTTGTCTGAATTGCTCCCGTGTTGGTCCACTTTATCCATGTCCCCCTAGGAATAACTTTATGAGAAAATGTGGTGGGTGTTTAAAGAAATTTATCAATGAGGACTGCTTTGACCACCATCTAAGTTCCGGATTTTGTCAACTGTCCAAACGTTGTGAAAAATGTGGAGTGATATGGGATACAAAAAACAACACCAGAGGAGGAAGGAATGGTCATGTATGCAATGAAAGGTACTGCTCAACATGTAATGGGTATCACGATCCGAAGCGAGGCTGTTTTATTAAGCCTTTGGAGTCCAAAGCTCAAAAGCCTTACCGATTTGTGGCTTTTGACCTCGAGACCATGCAACATGTCTCATCTGGCAACAAAAGGAATCACCAAGCAAACTTCATCGCAGCAAGGGTAACCTGTCCTAAATGTATTGAAGAGGAGGAGGAGCAGTGTAAAGTTTGTGGCAGCAACAGATTAGTCACCTTTTCTGAGCGCCCCTTTTCCAAAACGCGCGTGGATCTTCAGAAAGTAACCAGTGATCCAATCATCTCGTTTGTTAAATGGATAATTGATCTGACAAATGAGTACGACACCATCGCTTTTTCACATTTCGGAGGTAGATTCGATATGGTAATAGTCTTCAGAGAGTTGTTTCTTCTGGGTTTTACTCCGGAAATGTTGAAGAGAGGGAACAAAATGTATGAGATGAAGGTCAAAGTTGGAAAGAAGAGTATGTTGATCTTCAGGGACAGCTTCAACCTGATGCCAATGTCTTTGGCATCTCTTGTCCCAGCTTTTGCTCTCGAAGTGGAGGATAAACCCTTTTTCCCCCACCTCGCCAACCAACCTAAAAATTATGGAAAAGAAGTTTTTCCCGTCCCCTCTGATTACTTCGCTGACGGGATGATGCCTGAGAAGAGAAAGGAATTTGATAGATGGTATGAGCAACACAAGGAGCAACCATTCTTCTTGGACGAGGAGTTGGCTTCATATTGTACAAATGACGTGGAAATTCTTCTCGCAGCACTTATTGCATTCAGACGAGAATTTATGGATGTTTCGAAAAGGGGGCCTTGTCAGAGAGCCGCATCAAATAAGGCTCACAATGGTATTGATGTTCTGAGGGAGTCCATGACGATCGCATCAGCGTGTATGAATCACTTTAGGACAAATCATCTAAAGGAAAATCACTTAGCTCTGGTTCCGGAGAAAGGGTACGACAACGTCGATAATCAGAGTCGTCTCGCCTTGAAGTTTATGAAGTGGTATGAGGAAGAGCATGGGGTAAAAATTCAGACAGCACATTCAGATGGAGGGGAGAAAAAAGTAGGCAACTACAAACTGGATGGTTGGATAGAAAAGGAGAACTTAGGGATTGAGGTAAATGGATGTGTATGGCATGGCTGTGAGCGTTGTTATCGAGAAGACAACGCAGTTCTCCCAAATGGTCTTACAGCAGGAAAGCAGCGGGAGAAGGATTTGAAGAGGTTGGAGTTCATCAAAAGTCAGGGAATAAATGTGCAAGTCTTTTGGGAGTGTGAGATTAGGGGTATGCTGGATAATGATAGAGAAATGAGGAGCAGCTTTAAAAAATATTTGGACGATGGACCTATTGATCTGCGTGCGTGCTTTTTTGGTGGACGGACTGGTCCTCTTTCCCTTTTCTACAAGCCAGCTGAGGGAGAGAAAATTTCATACTATGACGTGACCTCCCTCTATCCGTTCATAAATGTTTCTACCAAATATCCAGTGGGACACCCAAAGGTCCACATCCTCAATCAAGATGTTCATTGGAGTAGGCCTGAAGACAATAACTTTGAATTGGCAATCTTAAAAGTTTTTGTGATCCCCCCAAGAAGCATTGATATCCCTGTTCTCCCAATGAAGGTTGGCGAAGATGATGAGAGGCTTCTCTTTCCACTTTGTTCACAGTGTGCTAGGGAGAATCCTGAAGGAGGAGTGAATGAGAACTACTCCTGTCCACACACAGATCAACAACGTGGATGGGTTAGTACCTGCACTTCACTTGAACTGAATGCAGCATTGGAAGAAGGCTATGTTGTGACAAAAGTTTTCAGGGTCCTGGAGTATGATAGTTCCGATGATCAATTATTTGCTCCCTATATTAGTGAATTCATGGCGCAAAAAATTCACTCATCAGGGTTCGATAGTTGTATGAAGGGGGATTTTGAAAAGGAGGAAAAGTTCATCAATGAGTGTAAGGAGAAGTTTGGGATCAATATAGATAGGAGTAAAATGGGACCAAATAAGGGGAAACGAACACAGGCCAAACTAATGTTGAATAATTTATGGGGAAGATTTTCTCTAAGGAACTTTGGGCTGTCTCAATGTGCAATCACCGACAACCCAGCCGAACTTCATAAATATTACAACGACAAATCAATCGAAATCACCGGTCTGGATGAACTTACAGATGAAATTCTACTCATCACTTACATCAAAAAGAAAGATTGGATAGAGGAGCACAACTGCTCCAATGTTGTCATCTCGTTGTGGACAACGTCAGCAGCACGCCTCCATTTGCTTCGAGCCATGCAGAAAGTGGTGCGTTCTGATGGTTGCAAACTTCTCTATACCGACACTGACTCCTTGATTTTTTCTCACCCAATCAACAACTGTCCTCTACAACTTGGACCACATTTGGGAGAGCTGACTGATGAGTATCCAGTACACAACATTTTGGAGTACTGCTGTGGTGGAGCAAAACAGTATGGTCTACAACTTCAACGGAAGAACCAACTTGGAGATGACAAAGAATATGTCCTCAAAGTAAGAGGAATGACGTTGAACTGGGATGTGCTCAACAACCAGGGACTGCAATACAACACCTTCAAAGAACAGGTACTTTCTTTTGCGAAAACTGGAGAAAATATTCCAATTGATATTATTTACCCCAATTTTTTGCGACCATCGATTAAAGATGGTCGTGTCACTTCCCAAGCACAACATAAATTGTACAAACCTGTCGTCAGTAAGGGAATTATTCGCCCTTCTGACTTTTCTATACTTAATTTTGGATTTGTAAATAATCGCCACCCTCGTATTTCACCCCCATAATTTTTCTTTCACTTATAATTTTTTGTCAATTTGTCCCAATAACTCTTGGAGCCGGAAAGTAGTCAGGGGTACTCCTTATCTGCTCTATACCAACCATTGTTTCGATGAATATCAAATGTGTCATTCACATATTGTGAGGTCGTCCTCTCATTGTTTACGATGATTATCAACATGTGCCATTCACATGTTGTGAGGCATACCTCTCATTGAAATACAGTGGTAGCGGACTGAGTAAATTATTACATCCCTGGTTGAGTTGGATAAAGGAGTCGAATGGCGAAGCCGGTCTCCTACCCCTCCCTCCTATTTTCTTTTTCTCAACTTTATTATTGCAATTTTTATTGTTTTAATTTTACCTTTGAAATAAATTTTATGAAAAAACTTGTGCAAATTTATTGTTTAAAAGTAGGTGATTTTAGCGGTAAAAGTGCACAATTAAGAAACTAATTAGCAAAGTTTAGTGTTTGAAATAGCTAATTTTAGGGAGAAAAGTGCACAATTTAAGTAAAAAAAGTTGCAAAAAAGCAAAGTTTGCAATTTTAAATAGATGATTTTAGGGGTAAAAATGCATATTTTGTAAAAATAAAATGCAATTTTTATATTTTATTAAAATTTATGAATTTTAGGTATGCGTGCATGTTTTTGGCATGCGTGTGTATTTTTAAGCCCCTAAGTGATTTTGATACAAAATTTTTAAAAAAATTTTTATCCAAAAATAAATTGATTACAATTAATTACCAAAGTTCGAAATTAGGAATTTCTAAGTCTTGATCTTTTTTCAAAATAATTACTGGACTCTTTGGCTCTTCCGAAATTGTTAGTTTGTTTGTTAAGTCATTGGAAAGTTTATTCACCCATTTGCTAGCAAGTCGATCCTCTTGTTCAGGAACAAACTCGAGCAACTCCAGTGGGTAATATCGGTCCTCTCCTCCAAATGGGAAGCGCTCAACAACACATTGCAAGTAAGGATAACGTAAACGAATCCTGTGTCGAGCATAATAGTGAGCAGCAACGCTCACGTTGTATGGAAAAGGTAATCTCCCATAAGCAACGAGAGAATTACCTCCATGTTGAGTAAGACCATCTATACGAAAAGTTTTCTTGAAGCCATTCTGGTCTTCATAGGTCGTTTGGACTTTACGACCGAGAATTTCTTTAAAGATAAGCACGCGGTTATCAGGATGGTTGAGGTGATCTCTTAAAGACTTTGCAGAGCACCCCAAAATTCGCGTGCATTCGTCAATGACTTTATTGGAAGCGGAATGAGAATTCATTTTTTTAGTAAGAATGATTTTTTTCCAAGAATTTCCCTCTTTTTATACTCCCATTTTTGATATTTTGAAATTTTACATTTTGATATTTAGGTCAATTTTGTGCAAGAAGTTGAATTTTTGATTTCCGCTCATTTTCATTAATCATTTTAAAAATTTTTCAAAAAATGAGCTCATCTACAGAAGAAGAATTTATTAAGTTTATGCATGGGTCATGTGAGTATAGAGAATTTCACAAAAGGAAGTATATGAACGCTTTGAGTCAGACTATCAAAGAAGGTGGTCAACTGGACTTGGGAGCACGATTGAGTATACTCATAAACTACTTCCGAGCTGGAAAGTGGTGCCATGATTGTCTAAAGTTTGTTTTGAGTCGTTTACAGTGTGAAATTATAGTTCCAAAATATGAACATAATTTTAAGTACGAATTTTATCTATGTCCAGATTGTTTTAAGATTACAAAAAGTTATCTCGAAATACATAATAATTAATTATTTATCATATTGTTTACAATTTTAGTTACAAATAAATCTGTATTACTAATTGACTCTAATAAATTTAAATATTTGGGAAAGGAGTAGCCTTGGGATAAAAAATATATTAGGGAAATACAGTGGTGAGCACAAGTTTTTGATAGGGGTGATTGGTATGGTTTAAGATTTCTTTGTACATTTTTAAACTTTTTTAAAAATGATTTAACAATACAAGAACTTATTGGTAGTGCTAGACTATCAAAATAAAATATTTGATCTTTTTCTAAATAAAGTGTAATCCAGTGTGACCCTTCCATCTCATGAGAATCCAAATTTACAATAAGAGTTGTTGGTCTTTTCAAAGTATTAGGGGAAGGGATCAAGTCACAAGGGAAGCACCCCTCGAAGATTTTGCTCGTCTTTTGATTTGATCTCAAAATTTGAATTATCTGGCTGCTGTACATTGTTTTGCAAAATGTTTAATTTTACCCAAAGTATTGATCGAAGTTGATAAATGATTAGGCTTATAATGAGGAGAGCATACAAACAAATCATCCCCCAGCAAAATATATGTCCATAAATATCTCCTGGTG